AAATCAATATATTGAATTAAAAAATCACTGTGTAACGAAGCTCTCTGTACCCCTGGCTGGGTATCTCTGGCAAGGACCGCTTCCTAGCTGGAACAGGGGACAATGCTCAGCACTCTTGCCCACAGTCGCCATGGCTTGACTGGGGTCCTGGAACCGCTCCCTCCTGGAGCTGAATGGGGAATTCACTCTAGACAACATCAGGTACTGGACGACACTCAATCCTGGGAGCTCTAGTCCTTATAGGGACTTTCCCAGTTGAATCCTCCACACTAGAACAGTGATTAAAGATTATCCCTTTCCCCTCCGAGTAACCAGAGGACACATAGTTCTTGGAGTACAAGCTGGAATAAGTTTAATCTGACCAGATGGCCTGCTTTAATACATTTTTAAATACAGTTGAGCATGCCCATGACACTCCCACAGAAAACAGTATAATCCCTCCCCTATGCCTAGGAGATAATTGAGTCAGGAACTGTACAAAACTCAATTATCTCCAGGCACAAAAAAACACACATTTCACAAACACCCCAAAAGTACCTTAAAAATACATAAAAACCCACAAAAGTTATATCCCTTGACAGCCCCGATCTGGGTGACCAACATATTCAAAAATCACCCAGATCGGTTCAGGGGTTCGGGAATTTCCTGGAAGTCTTAATTTGACCGACCGCATACTAGGCTCCTGCCCAAAACAGTTTTATAAGATAAGGGCTAGCGGTTGATACAGTTCGGTAGTTTAAAAACATACAAACTACCGAACATAGTCAATATTCTTACCCAAGAGCTTGTTCCTCTTGTTCGTGGGAACGTTTCCACCGAACAGTGTCTTAAAAGTGTTATAAAACCGAACACAGGCGATCATGGAAGTCTTCAGGAGTTTCTGTGTCCGAAAATAGTTCCAAGAATTCGATGAATAAACACCGCTGCCTGTGTTCATGCGAACAAGACCTCATGGTCGTCCATAGGAAATGAGGCCACCCAGACGAACACTTAGAACACTTCGGTGGAAATTGCTACAAAGTAGCAATTAGGCTTAACAAGCTCATCGGTGGTCTCCAGTTCGTGCGGCTGTTTGGTTCCCGAACCATACAGTCCAAATACAGAAACTGAGACTTTTACATAACATATATTACAGGGTCAATAGTCTGTGTACAGGAAGCTGGCAGTCAGGCTCCTCCAGGAGTTTGTGGCAAACTCACAGGAAAGGGGAGTTTGTCACACACAGTTTAGTAGATATACCCTCAATAAAAACATGCATGTATATAATTATGCATTGTGTTTAATGAGGTATATCTAAAAACAGCCTGGAAAAAGCTTCAGATCTCTTGTCTGGAGCCGTGGCAAGCACTTACCCTTCTTCCCCAGTACAGACTTCCCATGGCAGCTCGGTGAGAATGCTTTGCAAGGCAGGTGCTCTGGGTAATTATCTGCCTGACCAAACCAGGAAGTAATAGGGCTGGTTGTCTGATTAATAGCCATGTGGGGGGTGGGGGTGTGGGGAGACATGATTAATTTATAAATGTGTCAAGTTCTGTTGAAATATGTATTTTTTTTATATTATGAAAAAAGAGGTCAAGCTTTTCACACTTGAGCAAATTTAAGTGCTTTAGGTGTCTAGAATGTCCCTTTAAAGAACATGGTTTCAGAAACGAATCCATGGTAGTGTAGCCCATGGAGCAGCATAGCTAAGGAGAATTGGCCCTGGCATGGCTAGCAGACAGGCAAGGAGCATGAGTAATGTTTGGGAAGAGCTAGGAGAAAGTAGGGGAGGGTTTGTGGCTATGGGAGTATATATAGATTGGGAGCCATCTTAACAAATCATCACTTACCTGTTGTGGCAGGTCTGTGTGGCGTCTCTGTTTTTTGTAATTCAAGTGCTTTTGCTGTTTTGAAGAATGGAGGAGCTGATGGCATGGCTTCAATCGTGTATTGTAATCAATGCAATCCTCTAATGTTAGAAGTGAAAAGATCTCCACAAATTCCTCTTTCCAAATTCTCTCCTTTACTTCGGGCTTCAGGTGAAAGCCCAAAAGTCCAGCAAAAGAAACGTGTACATTTTGGCGTGCCACCCCTGGGACTCCCCCAATCTGACTCGTGCCCTAAGTCATCCAGTAAGTAAGTAGAAGGAGGAAGAGAAAAAGAGACGTTATCGAAAAATCCCGAAGTCATTTGGTAATTGGCTTCGGGCTTTTTGCATCCTAGCCAGTGTCTTGGGCGAGAAATCCCCGGATCGTTGTTCACAATTCTTTTGTTATCTTGACGTTATCTGGGAGGCATATAAGATGTATGGAGGCTTGTCTTGGTGGCGTTATGACAAAAATTTCATCAGCGCCTCTCAGTCATTCTGGGCAAGAGGTGGGATCAGATGGATCTCCCTCTTTGGATGAAGCTGATAATGGCGTCCACCTTTCAGTCAAGGGCCATCGCTAGACTGTCCTCCACCTCATTGGCTGCCCATAGAAAAGGTTTCTGCTGGCTCTTCAATGAGGGCCACTGCAAGTGGGGAGCTACTTGCCAGTTCAAGCATGAATATTCAGGATGTGGTGGGAATCATGGCTACAACCAATTGTTCAAGCGGTGTAGGTCAGCTGCAGCAGGTGGAGCTTCAGGAACAGCAAACGCACCCTCTGCCACTGGGGTTGTCACCGGTGAAGGTAGTGGCTTAACAGCTATGGTAATCAGGGGAATGCAACGTTGCTAAGGGTTTTGTTATTCCATTCAAGGAGGTGGTCCGGAGTCTTTGGAATTTAAAATTAGTGGGGGAATTTCCCGGTATTGTGCAGGAAAAGTTGAGCAAGGAGGAACAACTGGGAAGAATGGCAGGGCAGTTTGTGGAAATCCCACTGGCAGACCTACGGGTTTCTTCTTTGAGGGTGGTGCCAAAGAAGGAACCTGGTAAGTACTGGCTGATACATCATTTATCGCATCCCTAGGGTTCATCGGTGAATGATCATATCGATAGAGATCTCTGCTCGGTTTTGTTTGCATAATTCGACCACGCGGGCGAGTTAGTTCGGCGAGCTGGTCATTGGGCAAAGGCAGATGTGGAGGTGGCATTTAGTTTATTGTCACCAAGATTGTCATCATCTATTGGGCTGCTTCTTTGAGGGGCAGTACTTTGTG